AATAAGTAGTGAAACTAGAATGGAAGGAGCATAACAGTCGTATATACAGGGGGTGGGTCAACGCTCATTGGAGATAGAGAATTCTAACTAATATATAAATAGTTAACTGATAGTAACTTGTGCCGAATGTAATCATTTATGAACTGACAGCGTTCCGCGGGAAGTGCAAGGTCGTTCTAATTGAGGCCATTTTTTATGTATGCATTTATTCGTGCATGTGCCTATGTAGCAGGAGAAATGCCTGGGAGACCAGTAAGAACAGGAAGGCCGAGGATCAGCGTAGATTCTGAAGATGTGGTACTACAATTAACTGAAAATTAGCCTTCTCGCTGTGCCTTGTTTCGCTGACAGCTGGTGTAGCTAAGTTGACAGTACACCGAATTCTACACACAGAGCGGCTGCACCCGTTTCACATTCAACGTGTGTAGGCGCTTCTTCCAGAAGACTACCCATAAAGTGTCCAGTTTTACATAGGAATGCTTCAAGAATACAGAAATAACTGGTAGTTCTTCATAAAAATCTTATCGACGAACGAAACTTATTTTCGAAGAACATGATTTTATAAGAACATATTCAGGCCGATGGATAGGGCGAGGAGGTACCATAACCTGGCCGCCTCGCTCACCAGACCTCATCCCCATCGACTTCTTTGTATGGCGTTATATGAAAAGTTAGTGTTTTCTACTGAAGCTCCGTACTAGTTTTAAAAGAATGGATTGCTACTATGAGTAACAGCCTCCTCAGTAATCCACATATACGATACAGCGAGTAGAAGGAAACTTTCTATGACAATGACGACCTTTCATTCGAGTATCTCCTGTAAATATCGCCTAATGTGGGCACAACGAAGGGCTCTTTTCAACATATTTTCTGGAAAAAAATGATGACCCCTAGGATATAGCGGGAATAAAACTCAAACATCACATTGATCGAATCTAATAATAACTTTCAAGGATTTACTGTTTTCTATAATCACAGACAACTATATCACAACAATAAATCCTGTGGGTGTTATCTCGACGAAATGGAACTTATTATTGTGCCCTCGTAGTTATGAATTGTTTAATTTATATTGAACGTACGCCGTATTCAGCAATATCAGGCTTCGCCATCTACAGTTGAGGTGTTCAACTAAAACAGTTGATATTGTACAGAAATCTATCTAACAAAAGATAAGTCAACTACTTTGACATTGTAAGTAAGGCTATTCAACGCTGGATGGCGCAGCATACATTGATTTTTCTTCTTCCTCCCCACATTTGGATTTGTCGTTTATTCTTCCTTTTCTATTCGACATTCTTCGGCGAAATCGACGTCGAAACGGTCATGTGAACCTGTGGTTATTTGTTGTCAAGGGATTACAGATTCCCGTCGATTTTGTGTCAAAATCCGTCCAAAGTAAATTCTTACGGCCATCGGCGTGTCGAAAATTAAGTTCTTGTTCTCAAAATAGTGCACCAGCTACTGACAATCACGTTACAATACGGATGCAGTGCAGTTATTTTGGATTTTATACTAGTGACTTTAAAAGGTAAGCATTCAAGAACCTCAATATATTTCTCATAGCAAAGAGGAACGATAGATGTTAACCGAACGTTTAAATATTTATATTCTCCGTAATTTTACACTTGTTGAAGTAAACACACCGTACTGGCATCAGTGGCCTTTTTGCAGTCTAGAAGTCAGGCTAAAAATATCTGGATATGCCTCCTTTTTTACTTGTTTCACCAAAAAGGAAATGGTTTCCAAACGCCGGGCTTAAAATACACACCTATTTCTGGGTTTTGAAAACTTCACTTTGTTTGAAGTTCTGCTCAAAGAAACACTTCATGAGCACACAATGAATTACTGAATTACATCACTGTAATGTAAACAATAATAGTCAGGTGTACTCTATTTACCTTACACTGTACATGATTATCTGTTTACTGTGAAGATTATTTATGATAAAAATGGGTTGATACACAATCCATAGCTTCCTTATTTCCTCATTTCATTTTTTTTTTTCGCTAGCTTTCCTAGAGTAAAATAATGGTGAGTCTTGGTGAAAATATGTTGTCAATAACCAATGGCCAAACTGCTAAACAGATTCCAGGAAAGGCAAACACATCTCAGAAAATATCTTGGCTTGATTTAAGCAGTGAAGTGAGTTTCAGACTAGACTGAGAAATTTATGAGCCAAGGTAGAGTTTTTTGTCTTTTTGATAATTCTTTATTCTATCTGTGGGTCTCCCCATGTGAATTTCAAATGTATTCAAAACCACACTGAAAGCTGTTAATAAAATATAAATGAAAAATACCTGAAACATCCGTCGATGCGATCTAAACAGTAAGAAAGAAGTTAAGCTTTTGACTAGGAAAAAATTAGGAGCAGAACCAATACCATGGGGTTTTTTAACAGGAGTCCAAACATGCCTTTTTAGGTTTCCGCAAAATCGTTAAATTGCAATTTTTAAAATAATTTAAAAGCCGTTGACTTTTTCAAAAAGCTCAAAAATAGTACTTTTCTAGAAAATAAAACAACAAATATTTTAGATGTATACCTAGATTTTCAACTACGTTGTTATGAATAGACTTGCATCAATTTTACATCAACACTCATGATGAATAAAATTATAGATACCTATTGACCACATAAAATAGTTCAAACAATACACTATGTAGGAAGAATTGTCTGAAGTTTTTGATGAATACTTCATGATTATGAATGATAAAAAATTTTGTTTCATATACCTGCAGCAGTGTTTCACTTTTTCTTATCTCATAATTATAATAAATATTTAATATTTCAAGTTACAATAATCACAGGTTTAATACTTGTTTGGCACAGTTCTGTGACATCACATACTTGACACACTGGTTTACTACTCGTATATATATATATATATATATATATATATAACCTAACTGGTCTAGACGACAATGACCACGTCTCAATATATATATATATATATATATATAACAAAAATAGGAAAATAATGGGCAAAATCCGCAAAAAGTGGATTCAAGCAGAAAATAGGATAGGTAACCCGAGCGATACGTATTTCTGCTGGTTGGCTTCATCAGGCCCGAAATGAATGCACATATGCAACTACAAAAGTAGATACACAAGCGCACACAACCGGATACGGGTGTAACCTGAGGAAACGAAGATGGAGAGGAAAAAAAGACACACGAAGTCCACAACATGAGCCAACCTACACATTGTAGTATAAAATGGCTACAAGACCTCAAATTTTCAAGGCGACAAATAACCACAACCACGCGACCAGTTATAGCCACTTGCTGTGGTACTTCAAGCCCAAAGGATCTACAAAGAGAAAATTATCATGCGGAGAGAAGTATATAACAAAAATAGGAAAATAATGGGCAAAATCCGCAAAAAGTGGATTCAAGCAGAAAATAGGATAGGTAACCCGAGCGTTTCCTCAGGTTAGACCCGTATCCGGATGTGTGCGCATGTGTATCTACTTTTGTAGTTGCATATGTGCATTCATTTCGGGCCTGATGAAGCCAACCAGCAGAAATACGTATCGCTCGGGTTACCTATCCTATTTTCTGCTTGAATCCACTTTTTGCGGATTTTGCCCATTATTTTCCTATTTTTGTTATATACTTCTCTCCGCATGATAATTTTCTCTTTATATCTA